TCTCTCTCTCTCTCTCTCTCTCTCTCTCTCTCTCTCTCTCTCTCTCTTTCTGTTTTACTAGCCTATTGATGTTGCAAGAATACTTCCCTTTTATGTCCAGTCAAGAAATGAGAGAGAAAATATTAAGGACATTTGAAAGGATAGATGCCCAGGGCTAGAGAAACTGAGGTTGATAATAACTGTTAAAGACTGAACCTGAGAGAACAGCTAGAAATACAGATACCATGCTCTATAGTTTCCAAGTGCCTAGTACATTATGGATAATTTCAATTCTGATTCTTGAGAAGGCAAATAGTATGAAGAGAAAAGCATAGGGTAGGAGCCCCATCCTCCCCAAAATAGAAATGTGTAACTCACTCCCTTTAGGGCATCAAGATAGTGGACGATTATTATCTTACTGGTATCTTCCTTTCTTTTTCTACCAAAAGAGGAAATAATGAGCAATATGATGCTGAGATGAAGCAGTCCAGGCCTCTGTGGAGAGAATTCATTCCTGGCATTTCCAAAGGCTCTGGTCTTTGTACCTGTACTGTTCAGTATTGTCATCAACGATTTAAAGTAAGGACTAGATAACATCAGTAGGAACAGTCTATAAATATTCTAAATGAGCAGAAAAGTATTAGAAACCATTGTTGCATTTTTTGAACAAATTATATTTCAGTGATTCTTCCCTCTCCTCTCCCCCACCCTCTTATTTCTTTAGACGTCCCTCCCCCTCATTGACATCTGTCACTAGTCCCTCTCCTTCTGTCTTTCTGCTACCTTTTTATCTTTTTATCTTTCCTCATCACTCATTCTATTTTCTCTTGGTCTCCTTATTAGCTTACTAGGGTTTCCCTACATTTATACTTTAATTTAATTATATAAAGATATCTAAAGTGTCATATTGATATAGTTAGTGTCATAGTTAGCTTCAGCTGTTAACCTGACACAACAAACAGTCACCTGGAAAGCAGAATCAGCTGAAGAATTTCCTCAATTCGATTAGCCTATGGGCACACCTGCGAGACATTTTCTTTATTGCTACTTGATGCAGGCGGGTCCTGACATCTGTGAGTTGTGCTTTCTCTCTACAGATGAACATGGGCTGTATAAGAAAATTAGCTTAGCAAACTAAAGGAAGTGAGCCAGTAAGCAATACTCCTTCAAATTTCTGCTTCAGGCTTCAGCCTGGAGTCTCTGCCTTATCTGTATGGATATATACGATGGACTATAACCTGTAAGATGAAATGAACTATTCCCTCACTAAGTTGGCTTTAGTCAGATGGTTTTATTACAGTAACAGAAAGCAAACCAAGACAGTTAGAATCTTCCCCAAAGTTCAAAGAATGAGTATATATAAACAGTAGCCAAAGCGTTCAGTTTAGAGTCTTTAGACTATGAAAGACATCAGTGTTAAGAACTGTCCATAAAATTATGATATCTTTATGTAAATTATAAAAGGCTTAAATAAACTTCAATGTACAGAATTTTGATTACATGGCACTAGTTTGTAGGAAGGATAAATAATATTTTGCAGAATTATGATTAAAACCCAAAGTAAAAACCTAGCTCTTGTTAGATGCAAACCCTCCTCTCCTTGGTCTACTTCATATTGATATTCTCATATGAAGTGGACACAGACACGTCACAGATGACACTTTGCACAGATGATATGATTAACTGTATGTGGGAAATATTAGAAATTGACAATTGGTTTAGTGCTAAGACAAGATGTTGATGATGGAGATAGATGACCAAAAAGGATTTGTAACTTAATAAAGAATTCTGTAACGAGGGAGGCGATCATCACAGTCTTCTCTGGATGGTTACACCTAAATGTCCCTTTTCTTGTCACAAGAAAAAAAAAGGTTGCTTTTGCTAGGAAACAGAGAAAAGGAGCCAGAGTAAAAGAGTGAATGGTTCAAAGTCACCTTTTGCCATAGAGAAATAAGTTGTATGGATGGGAAACGTACAGAAAAAAAAAGATTTGGATAAGACATGAAAGCTGCCATCAGGCAGCTGAATGCTTCCCAAATGGGAGGTTGAAAAGAAAGGAAATGATAATTTCTATATTACAGTGGCTAAGGCAGTGATGTGGCACATGAAATGAGCTGTACTGAAAGAAGGGAGTAAAGAATTTCAACATCCCAGAAAGGAAGTTTGGTGATATCTCCATTTTTTTCTAAAATAGATTAATATCAAGAGCATAGGTCTATCTTAAGGTGAAGAGATCACTGTCCAGAATGTTGTCATCAAAGTTCAAAATGTTCATCAGCCTTAGTCATCAGGGAAATGCAAATCAAAACAACCCTGAGATTCTACCTCACATCAGTCAGAATGGCTAAGATAAAAAACTTAGGTGATAGCAGATGCTGGCAAGGATGTAGAGAAAAAGAAATACTCCTCCATTGTTGATTGGATTGCAAGCTGATACAACCACTCTGGAAAGCAGTCTGGTGGTACCTCAGAAAATTGGACATAGCATTACCTGAGGACCAGGTTATACTACTCCCAGGCATATACCCAGAAGATGCTCCAACATATAACAAGGAAGTATACTCCACTATGTTCATAGCAGCCTTGTTTATAATAGCCAGAAGCTGGAAAGAACCCAGATGTCCTTCAACAGAGGAATGAATACAGAAAATGTGGTACATCTACACAATGGAATATTACTCAGCTATTAAAAACAATGAATTCTAGACATTCTTAGGCAAATGGATAGAACTAGAAAATATCATCCTGAGTGAGGTAACCCAATCACAAAAGAACACACATGGTATGCATTCAATGATAATTGGATATTAGCTCAAAAGTTCGAAATACCCAAGATACAACTCACAGACCACATGAAGCTCATGAAGAAGGAAGACCAAAGTATGGGTGTTTTGGTTCTTCTTAGAAGGAGTAACAAAATACTCAAGGGAGCAAATATGGAGACAAAGTGAGGGACAGAAACTGAAGGAGGGGCTCTCTGGAGACTGTTCCACCTGGGTATCCATCCCTTGTGCAGTCACCAAAGGTAGACGATGATGTGGATGCCAGGAAGTGCATGCTGACAGGAACTTGTTATAGGTGACTCCTTAGAGGTCTGACAGAGCCTGAGATATACAAAGACAGATGCTCACAGCTAACCATTGAACTGATCATGGGGTTTCCAATGGAGGAGTGAGACAGAAGACTGAAGGAAATGAAAGAGTTTGCAGCCCCATGAGGAGAGCAACAATACCAACAAACCAGAGCTCTCAGGGTCTAAACCACCAGCCTGGGAGCACATAGGGAGGGACCCATGGCTCCATGTATATGTAGAGGAGGATGGCCCTGTGGGGCATAGGTGGGAGATGAAGCTCTTGGTCCAGTGAAGGCTGGATGCCCCAAAACTCCTGGGGCAGGGAGGTGGGAGGGGTCACATCCTCATAGAAGCAGGAAGGGAGGATGGGATGGGGGGTTCCTGGGTGGGGGGAAAATGGCGAAAGAGAATCACATCTGAAATGTAAATAAAGTATCCAATAAAAAGAAAGAAAGAAAACACCCAAATGCTGTGTGGTTCAACACCTAAGCCCTGGCAGTTAAGAGCACCATTGATAAGGACTGTGGAAGTAGTCGGCATCATGAATAAGAAAAACGGAATTTCTTTCACAACGACTACATGGTCATATGGGTCTTGTCTGATTGTATGTACATGGTAGAGACTTAAAGGACTTTCCTTTTTTCTCTTTAGCTTTTCTTGCGACTTCCTGGATGGAGACAGTTCTTTTGAATGCTGCTCCATAGACCCCCTGACAGGCTCCCACTATATCTGCCGCAGAAGCCCCCGACTCCTCACCAATGGCTACTACATTTGGACTGAGGACAGTTTCCTCCGTGACCCAGATGGCCACATCACTTTGAACCCCTCCCATACCAGTGTGATGTACAAGGAGAACTTAGTTAGGTAAGGAACGGATGCTGTGTAAGGAACGGATGCTGTGTAAGGAACGG